GAATCTGGAACTGAACCCCAAAGCTAAAGGCAAAGGCGACCCGGGTAGCCTCCCGCGCCTCGCGGGGCAAGTGCTGGGATAGCACAAAGACGAAGATGTCAAACTCGCCCCAGGTAGCCTCCAGCAGGGCTGTAGGGGCAAGTGCTGCTAGTAGCGAGTAGCACCACCTATGATACACACACACAGACAAAGCTCCCCCAGGTAGCCTCCAGCAGGGCTGTAGGGGCAAGTGCTGCTAGTAGCGAGTAGCACCACCTATGATACACACACACAGACAAAGCTCCCCCAGGTAGCCTCCAGCAGGGCTGTAGGGGCAAGTGCTGCTAGTAGCGAGTAGCACCACCTATGATACACACACACAGACAAAGCTCCCCTAGGTAGCCTCCAGCAGGGCTAGCGATGTTGACGACACAACTGCTCCACACTCACACACACAGTGCGCTAACCATTGCACCACCACTCACCACTCACACACACACAGTGCGCTAACCACTGCACCACCACTCCCTACTCACACACACACACAGTGCGCTAACCATTGCACCACCACTCCCCACTCACACACACACACAGTGCGCTAACCATTGTACCACCACTCCCCACACACTCACGCACACAATCACACTATGCAAATATTTACACGGACACACGCATATTGACAGACTTGCACAGTAACACACACACACACACATACGTCTATTCACACAGACACGGAGTCGCTGACACACACACACACATATGTATACACACACTCACTCACACACTCACTCACTCACTCACACACTCACTCACTCAAACACACACTCACTCACACACTTACACATTCACTCACACACTCACTTACCCACTCACACACTCACACACTCACTCACTCACTCATTCACCCACCCACACACTCACTAACCCACTCACACACTCACTCACTTACTCACTCACACACTCACACACTCACTCACTCATTCACCCACCCACACACTCACTAACCCACTCACACACTCACTCACTTACTCACACACTCACACACTCACTCACTCACCCACACACACACTCACTCACCCACTCACACACTCACCCACTCACACACACACTCACTCACCCACACACTCACACACTCACTCACACACACACTCACTCACCCACACACTCACTCATTCACCCACCCACACACTCACTAACCCACTCACACACTCACTCACTTACTCACACACTCACTCACCCACACACTCACACACTCACTCACTCACCCACCCACACACTCACTAACCCACTCACACACTCACTCACTCACACACACACTCACTCACCCACACACTCACACACTCACTCACACACACACTCACTCACACACACACTCACTTACTCATTCGCACACTCACTCAGCCACCCACACACTCACACACTTTTACACACACATACTCACTCACACACACTCACACACACTCACACACTCAAACACACACTCACACACTCACACACTCACTCACACACTCACACACTCACTCACTCACTCACACACTCACTCACTCACACACTCACTCACTCACTTACTCACTCACACACTCACTCACTCAAACACACACTCACTCACACACTTACACATTCACTCACACACTCACTTACTCACACACTCACTCACACACTCACTCAAACACACACTAACTCACACTCACTCATCCACTCACTCACACACTCACACACTCACTCACACACTTTTACACACACATACTCATACACTCACACACACTCACACACACAAACACACACACTCGCTCACACACACACACTCATACACTCACGCACCAACACACATACATGCACTCAGACACAAACAAACACACACACTCACTCACACACACACACTCACACACTCACGCACCAACACACATACATGCACTCAGACACAAACAAACACACACACTCACTCACACACACACACTCACACACTCACGCACCAACACACATACATGCACTCAGACACAAACACACACACACACTCGCTCACACACACACTCATACACTCACGCACCAACACACATACATGCACTCAGACACAAACACACACACACACACTCACACACACTCACACACTCACTCACACACGCACTCGCTTACAATTACACACTCGCTTGCACACAATCACACTACGCAAATATTTACACACACACACTTGCAGAGTAACACACACTCATCTATTCACACACTCACCCAATCGCTCACACTCACACAGTCAGGCACAATCACACACTCACTCACTCACTCAAACAATCACACACTCACTCATTCACACACTCACTCACTCACACACTCACTCACACACTCACTCACACAATCACACACTCACTCACTCACTCACACAATCACACACTCACTCACACACTCACTCACACACTCACTCACACACTCACTCACACACTCACTCACACACTCACTCACACACTCACACACTCACTCACACACTCACACACTCACTCACACACTCACTCACACACTCACACACTCACACACTCACTCACACACTCACTCACTCACACAGTCAGTCACACACTCACTCACTCACTCACACACTCACTCACTCACACAGTCAGTCACAATCACTCACACATTCATTCACACACTCACTCACTCACACACTCACACACTCACTCACACACACACATTTATATATACCCACACACTCGCTCACACACACACACTCGCACACTCACGCACCAACACACATACATGCATTCAGACACAAACACACACACTCACACACACACTCACTCACACACTCACACACACATTTATATATACCCACACACTCGCTCACACACACACACTCGCACACTCACGCACCAACACACATACATGCATTCAGACACAAACACACACACTCACACACACATATATATATACCCACACACTCGCTCACACACACACTCACACACTCACGCACCAACACACACACATGCATTCAGACACAAACACACACACTCGCACACACACTCACTCACACACTCACACACACATATATATATACCCACACACTCGCTCACACACACACTCACACACTCACGCACCAACACACATACATGCATTCAGACACAAACACACACACACTCACACACACACTCACTCACACACTCACACACACATATATACCCACACACTCGCTCACACACACACTCACACACTCACGCACCAACACACATACATGCATTCAGACACAAACACACACACTCGCACACTCACTCACTCACACACACCCTCACTCACACACACATTTATATATACCCACACACTCGCTCACACACACACTCGCTCACACACACTCACGCACCAACACACATACATGCACTCAGACACAAACACACACACACGCACTCACACACACACACTCACTCACACACACGCACTCACACACTCACACACGCACTCACACACACTCACTCACACACACTCACTCACACACACACACTCACTCACACACACACTCACGCACCAACACACACACATGCACTCAGACACAAACACACACACACACTCACTCATACACTCACTCACACACTCACTCACTCACTCACACACTCACTCACTCACTCACACACACACATTTATATATACCCACACACTCGCTCACACACACACTCGCACACTCACGCACCAACACACATACATGCACTCAGACACAAACACACAGACACACACGCTCGCTTACAATTACACACTCGCTTGCACACAATCACACTACGCAAATATTTACACACACACACTTGCAGAGTAACACACACTCATCTATTCACACACTCACCCAATCGCTCACACTCACACAGTCAGGCACAATCACACACTCACTCACTCACTCAAACAATCACACACTCACTCACACACGCACTCACTCACACACTCACTCACACACTCAAACAATCACACACTCACTCACACACTCACTCACACACTCACTTACTCACTAACTCACACACTCACTCACACACTCACACACTCACTCACACACTCACTCACACACTCACACACTCACACACTCACTCACTCACACACTCACTCACACACTCACTCACACACTCACTCACACACTCACTCACTCACACACTCACTCACTCACACAATCACTCAAACAATCACACACTCACTCACACACTGACACAGACACTCACTCACACACTCACACAATCATCACACACTCATTCACACACTCACTGAAACACTCACACACACTCACTCAAACACTCACACACTCACTCACTCACACAATCACTCACACACTCACTTACTCACACACTCACTAACTCACACACTCACTCACACACTCACACACTCACTCACTCACACACTCACACACTCACTCACACTCACTCACACACACACTCACTCACACACTCACTTACTCAGACACTCACTAACTCACACACTCACTCACACTCACTCATTCACACACTCACACATTCACTCACTCACTCAGTGCTGCTAGTAGCGAGTAGCACCACCTATGATACACACACAGACAAAGCTCCCCCAGGTAATACTGTAATACTATTATAATATAATTATCAAATATATCATATAATTACATTATCATCACAACGATTAGGCAATCTGAATAACATTTAATAATATAACAGTGATGATATCATATGTAACAATATAATTGTATTATATTAATCACAATGATTAGGGCTATTACACACGAATTAACATAATATTACTAAATTCTTTAAGTATAAACCCAGATTTTGTGGAGATAATTACGATCTAACCCTCACGAGATTCGCTACATTTAGACACTTAAAATAACGTGAATTTTCCATCGATGAATATAATATATCTTCTTGGTTCTTTCGGTAAAGTCACGTAGAAGGGAAATAATAAAATAATAAAAATTAAACAATAAAATATACAATTCTCACGACGTTTCGGCCACAACGCAAGCAGCCGTCCTCAGGTGAAGAACAGGTCTGTCGGAAAGACAGCGTCTGAATGAACAGGTCTGTCGGAAAGACAGCGTCTGAATGAACAGGTCTGTCGGAAAGACAGCGTCTGAATGAGCAGGTCTGTCGGAAAGACAGCGTCTGAATGAACAGGTCTGTCGGAAAGACAGCGTCTGAATGAACAGGTCTGTCGGAAAGACAGCGTCTGAATGAAACAGGTCTGTCAGAAAGACAGCGTCTGAATGAACAGGTCTGTCAGAAAGACAGCGTCTGAATGAGCAGGTCTGTCGGAAAGACAGCGTCTGAATGAAACAGGTCTGTCGGAAAGACAGCGTCTGAATGAACAGGTCTGTCGGAAAGACAGCGTCTGAATGAACAGGTCTGTCGGAAAGACAGCGTCTGAATGAACAGGTCTGTCGGAAAGACAGCGTCTGAATGAACAGGTCTGTCGGAAAGACAGCGTCTGAATGAACAGGTCTGTCGGAAAGACAGCGTCTGAATGAACAGGTCTGTCGGAAAGACAGCGTCTGAATGAACAGGTCTGTCGGAAAGACAGCGTCTGAATGAACAGGTCTGTCGGAAAGACAGCGTCTGAATGAACAGGTTTGTCAGAAAGACAGCGTCTGAATGAACAGGTCTGTCGGAAAAACAGCGTCTGAATGAACAGGTCTGTCGGAAAGACAGCGTCTGAATGAACAGGTCTGTCGGAAAAACAGCGTCTGAATGAACAGGTCTGTCGGAAAAACAGCGTCTGAATGAGCAGGTCTGTCGGAAAGACAGCGTCTGAATGAACAGGTCTGTCGGAAAGACAGCGTCTGAATGAACAGGTCTGTCGGAAAGACAGCGTCTGAATGAACAGGTCTGTCGGAAAAACAGCGTCTGAATGAACAGGGCTGTCGGAAAGACAGCGTCTGAATGAGCACCACCAGGCTTGGCAGCGTATATACTTAAATATATACTTAAATATACGCTGCCAAGCTTGGTGGTGTTCCCAAGAACAGGTCTGTCGGAAAGACCGCGTCTGAATGAAACAGCACCAGGCTTGGAGCGTATATTTAAGCTGGGTTCCAAGCCTGGTGGTGTTTCATTCAGACGCTGTCTTTCCGACAGACCTGTTCTTCACCTGAGGACGGCTGCTTGCGTTGTGGCCGAAACGTCGTGATAATTTTATTGTATTATGTTTTATTTTTATTATTTTATTACTTCCCTTCTACGTGATGACTTTACCGAAAGAACCAAGTAGATGAAACCCTGCAGTCACGAAAGCTTTAAATCGGTATATAATAAAACCTTCCGATATGAGTGAATCATAGATACATTTATACGTAAATCGAAATGCCTACATTTGTATGGAGATGATAACATATCCTTAAGATATTAGTTACATTAGATACATTTATCAAAAGAGTAACTTTGTATAATCATAATATAGCCTTACGATATTTGTTACATATATACATTTTAAATCAGAGTAACTTTGTGTAGATGATTGTAATTTAACCTTACTAGATTAGTTAACTTTAGACATTTAGAATATCAGTAACTTTGTATAGATTAATATAATATAAACCTTACAAGATTGGGTAACTTTAGACATTTAAAACAATAGCAACTTTGTATGGACATTCGAATATAATTTAACCCTTACGAGATTATGTAAATAAACATTTTAAATCAGAGTAACTTTGTATAGATGATTATAATATAACCTTACAAGATTAGTAACATACACACATTTAAAAACAATAGCAACTTTGTACAGAGATTAAAATATAACCTTACGATATTAGTTACATATTGAGATTTAAAATAACGTTAACTTTGTATAGATGATCAGAAGCGTTTATAATAACAGTAACTTTGTTGACATGAATATAATTTAACCTTACGAGATTAGGTAAATAGATATTTTAAATAACAGTAACTTTTTAGAGACATTATAAAATACCTTACGATATTCGTTACATATATACATTGATAATAACAGCAACTTTGTATCGATTGTGATCATATAACCTTACAAGTTTAGTTAACTTTAGACATTTAGAATAGCAGTAACTTTGTATAGATGAATATAATATAAACCTTACAAGATTAGTTAACTTTAGACATTTAAAACAATAGCAACTTTGTACGGACATTAGAATATAATTTAACCCTTACGAGATTAAGGAAATAGACGTTTAAAATCAGAGTAACTTTGTATAGATGATGATAATATACCCTTACAAGATTAGTAACATATACACATTTAAAACAATAGCAACTTTGTACAGAGATTAAAATATAACCTTACGATATTAGTTACATATTGAGATTTAAAATAACGTTAACTTTGTATAGATGATCAGAAGCGTTTATAATAACAGTAACTTTGTTGACATGAATATAATTTAACCTTACGAGATTAGGTAAATAGATATTTTAAATAACAGTAACTTTTTAGAGACATTATAAAATACCTTACGATATTCGTTACATATATACATTGATAATAACAGCAACTTTGTATCGATTGTGATCATATAACCTTACAAGTTTAGTTAACTTTAGACATTTAGAATAGCAGTAACTTTGTATAGATGAATATAATATAAACCTTACAAGATTAGTTAACTTTAGACATTTAAAACAATAGCAACTTTGTACGGACATTAGAATATAATTTAACCCTTACGAGATTAAGGAAATAGACGTTTAAAATCAGAGTAACTTTGTATAGATGATGATAATATACCCTTACAAGATTAGTAACATACACACATTTAAAACAATAGCAACTTTGTATGGACATTAGAATATAAACTTACGATATTAGTTACATTTCGATGTAAAGCTTTCGTGACTGCAGGGATTCATCTTCTTGGTTCTTTCGGTAAAGTCACGTAGAAGAGAAATAATAAAAAGTAATACATAATAAAATAATAAAAATAAAACATAATTCTTATTTTATTACGTTTCAATTTTAATATTTTATTTTTTCCCTTCTACGTGACTTTACCGAAAGAACCAAGAGGATATTCGTTACATATAGACGTTTAAAATAGCACTAACTTTGTCTACATGAATACGAGATTAGGTAACGATAGGCATTTAGAATGAGGGTAACTTTGTATAGAGATTACAATACTAACCTTACGATTTTGGTAAAATATAGACATTTAAAATGACGGTCACTTTGTTTAGAATACTATAATATAATCTTACAAAATTAGTTACATATAGACGTTAAAACAACATTAACTTTATAGAGAAAGTATAATACATTCTTACGATATTAGTTTCATATTTACGGTAATAATAACGTTACATTTTTTATAGATAATTCTAATGTAAGCTTAGTAAATGCGTTACATATACACATTAAAAATACCGATTTAAAACTTTCGTGACTGCAGGGATTCATCTTCTTGGTTCTTTCGGTAAAGTCACGTAGAAGGGAAATAATAAAATAATAAAAATAAAACATTATAAAATATGAAGAACAGGTCTTCCCGACAGACCTGTTCTTCACCTGAGGACGGCTGCTTGCGTTGTGGCCGAAACGTCGTGAGAATTGTATTTTATTAAGTTTTATTTTTATTATTTTATTACTTCCCTTCTACGTGACGACTTTACCGAAAGAACCAAGAAGATTAACAATAACGCTATGTATAGACATTCTAATATAACCTTACGAGATTAGTTAACTGTAGACGTTTGAAACAATAGCAACTTTGAATAGATTAATATAATATAACCTTACAAGATTAGTTAACTAAAGACTTTTAAAATAACAAAAACTTTGTATAGATTAATATAATATAACAGTACGAGATTAGTGAACTAAAGACATTTAAAATAACAATAACTTTGAATAAATTAATATAATATAACCTTACGAGATTAGTGAACTAAAGACATTTAAAATAACAGTAACTTTGTATAGATTAATAGAATATAACCTTAC